TCTTTATTCAACAGGCAGAAACTTTATTAACATCTGCTTGATAAATAGTTTTCTACATATACACAAATGTACATGTTCGTGTTTCGTATTTAAATTTTCAGGCCGTACTTTATACGATTTTGTCACGTTTCATATTTCACTTTCCCTTGAACGACGCGTCTTCCTTTTGAAAAGTCTGAATGTAAATATTGGTTTATTATCATGCGACGTTTATGGGCAGTGTTTCTAAATGTTAACCAATTTTGTAAATAACGACAGGTTAGATTTTACGATTACCTGGTTACAACGAAAAGTTGTGGTGCCGGTTGTCACAAAGATTATGAGATGATTCGTGTATTAGCAGATTATGCTTTGTGATTTCAAGAATTTGTGTAGTTTGTCCTTGACTTTTATCTGTCGTGAGCAATTCTCATTGTTCTGTATCGGGAAACTTTTTACAATTCCTACAACTTCTATAATGGTTTGTGTTATTATTACCTGTTATTAATTTAATATTATGCAAAAACGTAAAGGTAATATATAGCTACGTTCCGAGGGAGATTTGTGTCAGGGTTAATGTTTTCTCAAACTATCGGTTGTAAATTTTATTTGCGAGAGAGATTCAGAAATTGAAAGCTAATTTTAATACAGTTAAACATCTTACATCTGCAAATTTACATTTTGAAGTTAATTAATTGGATTATAAAATAGCGGCTTGAAAGTAAAACCATTTAGAATCAGGGCGTGAAAATTAAAGCGAAACTAATAACGAATGAGAGTGTGATGTATCATGAGAATTGCAGAAGTTGAGGCATTTCCAATTATGTGGTCAGTTCTTTTAATCTCTTTACCATAATCATTAGATTATTAGATCGTCGTAGCTTTTAAGAAAACTATTTGACACTGTTAATAAAATGTATTTATCTCCGTATGTATCAAACTTAAACTGTAACTGCCACTGTTCCCTTGACATACATATTGTATCAAACTATTCACCTTACTTTACTTATATCTTATTTTTAGTAGTTATGAGTACAGTACACACCAAAGTATTTGTTTGATGTTATTAAAAGATACATTTTATAGCCAGAACGTGATTGGTACGATGATATTTTCAAAGTTACTTTCACATCCTGGATCGACTAAAAAATCTGGTTGATGACTCATTCGTTAGCACATATCAAGACAGCTGAGAATTCAGCCAAAGAAGATGGCTCGTATTTTACTTCTTTTTTTTTCTGATGTTGTTATTGGATGTAATTTTTAATGGTGCTAATCAACTTTCGCTATTTAATTGTCACTTTCTTTTCGATTAATAATGAGTGATTGACGTGACGATTTACATTATTTATTTGCTCCTAAGTAGAAAGAAGTATTTTTTGGAGTAGTAATAATTGTACTCGTGTATAGTATTTAAATTAATTGGAACATATGATTCGTGATTATAAAATTTTAAAACATTTGCAGATTAATGTTAAACCATGAAAATATTAAGTTGTTATCATTAACATTCTAACATATTATTATTTTATGAAGAGAAAGTTTTTGTACCCATTATCATTTGTTTCTAAATTGGTATAATTTTGAAGAAATCGCTTTCTCATATTCATCCGATTGTGAAAATATGATGATACGTTGTAAAGTATCAGCACGGTTTGCTTTGCTTAGTTACTCAGTTGACGCACGTATGTTTAATTCCAGAAATAATACTTAATCAAAAATTTGATAATCCAACAGCATTTTGTAGGTGTAATTTTAACCTACATGCTTCTGATGATTCATTTTGAGACAATTAAAGAATACGTATTTAGTTATATAGGCCAAAACTGCCTGATTGTTTTTAATTTTGATACATCTATCTATTCTTTTTGTTTTCGTTATTGAAAATCGATAAAAATCCTAAAGAAAAGTGATAGTTATCAAATTTATGATATTATTATCTAGGGTAAAGGTCTAAATGATGATCCCCACCCCCGAAATGGGTGGGTGTGGGTGGGATCGAAAGAGGAGGTCTCCCCCACCACTGTACTATAAAAAGTTCGTGGCGGTCTCACCCTCATAAAAAATTATGGGGGGGTTCAAAGTTAATTTTATACATTTCTGGGCATGTAAATATTTATAGTCATTCTTAAACAATATTCAAAGGTAAAAAAAAAAACATAAAAATATTGAGAAAGTTATATAAAACATTATTTAAATATCGTTATCAATAGGGTAGGTTAGGTTAGGTTATCGGGTTTTGTTCAAGTGACCACCCTCTTTCGATCCCCCACCTCCACCCGCTTGAAAATAATTTTTTTATTGAATTTTATTTGAATTATAGTGCATGAAAATTGTCAAAATAATCAACTTTCAACCCCCATAACTTTAGTTTAGTTACACTAGATACGTTGAAAGAAACAGTTGGTTACAGTAAATAATATGGAAATCCTAAGTTGATTTTATCCACAAAAGTAGAATATGTTGACTTTACATATTTATTAGTGACTGCACTTTTTTCATTAACAATTCGTTGCATTCTTTTGGAGCAAAACAAACTGTTCTTGACCTTTACGTTAACCCCATACGATTAGAACTGTGTACCAATGGACCTCTCGAAAGTAACATATTGTAATAAATTGTTCCGCTTTACATCTGTCGTATACGGGTAAGGAAAATCGTTCACCGAACATAGAAATTACACATTTCTTTATTGGCATTTACAAAATACCTTAAAACCATATCTAAGCGCCTATCATACAAACCAACTAAAAATCATTCACTTAAACTTAAATTTATCACAAAAAACAAAATTATATTCTTCCCCGATCTCTCACTCTGTTCTCTTTTTTAAAGTTATTTTTTAAAGGAGTCGCTCCCTTTCCTTCTGCTCTTAATATTGCTGTGTATTCACTCCCTATTTAAATTTCCACATCTTTTTCTGTCATACGACTTAAACACTCATTTTCTCTTCTGCATACTCTACATTTTCTATCTTTGTCTCTTTCAACCAAATTTGTTCTCATTGCATTGTTTTCCTGTCCTAAATTTTTCCATAACTGTCATATTCTTGTTTCCTCCTTACCATTTTCTCCATATCTCTTTTCTTATGCCTCCTTCCTGTAAAAGCTTTAATTTTTTTTTCATGTCTGATTTCTCTCTTCTCATCTTAAAATCAAGTACTGCGTGCCTCTTTCCAATTTTAAAGGCTATTTTATGTATATTATAAATAATATCTTCACTTGATTGTAGCTTTTGCACCCACAGATTTTCACTCCATAGAATAAAACAGTTCTTCCTACTGTGTTGAATAGTACCTTCTTTCCCAACCATTTTTGAATAACTTCTACAATTCCCCATATTTTTCCCTTTATTGCATTTACTATTGCTATTCGATTATTTATTTCTGCATAATCCTTGTTATTCTCTCTGAGATAGTTACATTTCAAAACGTATTTGTACGAATTTTCCTATACCACGACGTATTTTTCCCTGTGCATGGTTCTCAATTCGCCACTAGTGTATAAATTCATATATTATGTAAGTATAATAACAGTCAGTATTCTTTAGTGGCCGACTACATCCATCTTCTTGATCTACTAATTGCGAATTATCGGCTGCTATCGGCGTTATTGACAGGTCATTAATTAACAAAAAAAATTACCAACCAGTACCAATGTTCCTGTAGAATAAACCATCACGAAGTCCAAAGGAAAAAAAAAAAAAAGGAAAATAAAAGCTCTGAATTAAAGACAAAAACATGTTTAATAAAAGTTCATTGGACTTTTGGAACCGTTACTGTATTCCCTTTCTTACTATGGTACATGCAGTAGGCCGTGTACATAAAGCTACTAATCTTTTTCATGGTTACGCTTAATTTAAGCCAGTACAGGTGTGAGTCACACATACATACATATATTTGTTTGAACGATGGCATGGGATTTCATCAAATTATGTGTTGTTGCTCCTTTATTCAGCGAAATTACATTGCTTAACGTGCACTGTTTTTTTTTTATTGTGAGAAAAACAAGTTGACGAAAGAAAGTTTAGAATGCTCTACAAGAAGTTGTTAAGTCATAAAATAAAAATTTTACATGTGTTATTACGGTCTTGGGTTACAAGGAACTTTTTCACATGCAGCATATTCTTATGGAAAGTATGTCTTTACTTTATCCATCTTGCTGATTCCCAAAAATAAGGGAGAAAACTATTGCATAACACCGCAAGATAAAAATGTTCAGTCTCTCAGAGTCTCTGAAAGCGAGACTCGAGTCTCTCTGGTGTTGCTGAAAGAGAGTGTCAAAAAAACTGTTCAGCGTCACTGAACGAGAGCCTCCAGTCTTTCATAGAGAGATCCTGATTTTTTTTGTCCAGTCTGTAAATAATATTTTATAAAATTATATGACGAGTTATTACTTTTAATTTAAAAAATCATCAGCATATTCTATGAAAACTAATCATTTATTT